ACTACTTCAACCAAAAAAGATAGGTTGTGCAATTTGTGCAGTTTAACTGCCTACGCTAGTTTGACTATTCACCCAGTCGAGCCTATTAAGCTAGATTGTGCAATTGAACCTTTTAAGCTAGTTATGGAGTTTGTCCAGTTGAACAGTTTAAGCTAGTTTGACCATTTGAACTACTTCAACAAATTCAGGTGGCTTGTGCAATTTTTGAAGTTAAATGTCCTCGCTAGTTTGACTATGTAACCAGTTAAATCATTTGAGACAACTTTAACAGTTTCTGCAGTTGAACTGGTTAAGCTAGTTATGAATTTTATACAGTTTAACTGTTTTCGCAAGTTTGACCATTTAAGCAGTTGGAGTTAAATTAAAGAAATTTCGAAAAGAAGTTCGAAAGAACTGCAGACGTTTACCAAACAGAGAGAGAAACACGACAGAAAACTCCGTCACTTGCTCAGTAAGAGGTCTCCTGTTAATTCAGGCTCATCTCTGAGAGATAAATGAGTCTTGAACCTTTCCTCCAAGGAGTTATCCGCGCTGGAACGGAGTGGTTTAGAGAAGGGTCTGAAGTTTGCTATTGCTCCTCGCAAAATACCGACTGCCGATATTGTCGCCGCTGTTGAGGAGAGTATCTCTCAACTCAACGACGATCGTAGGTATTTGGTAAGAGCAGAAGTAATTAGCATACTCACACGTGCTAAACCTCCTCCCAAAAACATTCAAAAGGATGTTTTCAATGCGCTTATAGCTCTCAAAAAGGATCCGGACAGGCTCGTAATTGAGGACAAGGGTAATTGTGTTGTGGTTATGGACAAACAGCAATATCACGACAAAGCTTTGTCTCTGCTTAATGACAAGAGTACGTATGCTGTCTTTAACTCTGATCCTACCAGTAAAACTCAAAGAAAGTTAAACAAAATGTTGCTTGATTTGAAAAAAGCTGGTATAATTAGTGACTCTACGTACAAAATGTTATACAGTAGTGACGGCTTATGTCCACGTTTTCATGGCTTATCTAAAATTCATAAACCGGGAATTCCTTTGAGACCCATTGTCTCTTTTGTTAATTCTCCGACTTATGCAATTTCTGGTTATCTTGCGAGAATTTTGTCGCCTGTTGTTGGGAATACTGATTACTCTGTCAAAAATCCCTGCGAATTTGCGGATTTCATAAGAGATAAAACTCTTAACGCTTGTGAAGAATTAGTATCTTTAGACGTTGTTTCGCTCTTCACCAAAATCCCAGTTGATCTTGCCGTCAAGGTTGCGGAGGAATGACTCAGAGAAGATGCTTCCCTGGGACAAAGAACTTCCTTGCCTGTGGAGGATATTAGTCATCTGCTGTCTTTTTGCCTCAAAACCACGCAATTTACATATAACGGCGCCTACTATCAACAAGTTTTTGGTACAGCGATGGGTTCGCCCGTCTCTGCTGTCATTGCTAACATGGTAATGGAAGACGTGGAACAAAAGGCCTTAGCCACTTCACCGGTTAAACCCTTTTTCTGGAAATGATATGTCGATGATGTTATTTCTGCGATATCTGGAAATGAAGCGGAGCGCCTCTTGTCGCATTTGAATTCAGTAGAGCCGTCGATCCCATTCACCCTTGAGCGTGAAAAGGATAGACATTTTCCCTTTCTTGATTTAAATGTGTTCAGGGTAATTTAGAGACAAGTGTTTACTGTAAACCTACCCACACCGACAAATACCTCGCTTTCGATTCTCACCACCCTGTTTGCCATAAAAAGTCTGTAGCCAAAACTTTACTTAGGAGGGCTGACTGTCTACCATCTTCACTCGATTCGAAGGCTGAGGAGAGGAAATATGTTTCCAATGTCCTAAAGGCAAATGGCCATACAAAAACTTTTCCCCGTAACTGCCAAAAATCAGTTACAAATAGTAACGCTCTTGATGCAAGGGAACCAGCGACTGGTTTTGCTTTTATTCCTTATATACAGGGTGTTACGGAACCCATCAAGAGAATTTTGAATAGCCACAACGTTAAAGTTGCTCAAAAACCTTTTCAGACTTTGGGGCATATTTTCGCCAAACCTAAGGATCCTGTCACGAAAGAACAACGAACCGACGCCATTTATTCTATTCCTTGCAATGACTGTGTCAACGAATACATCGGACAGACCAAACGTCAGTTTGGTACACGGTTAAAAGAGCACCAAAAAGCGGTTTTCCTTTGCAAAAAGGAAAATTCAGCTTTATCGGAGCATACATGCCTAACTAACCATACAATTGGGTGGGATAATTCTAAAATTATCACCACTAATCGGCGTTACCACCAGCGCCTTTGTTTGGAGGCTTGGCATATTAACTCCGCTCACGCTCCTTAAAATCGTGACGGTGACGGTTTGCTACCTGACGCCTATTTACACCTCGTCCGAAAAAAAAGGCCGCTAATTAGTGATCATATAATAGGACCTCTTGTTGCAGCGTTTAGATCACCCCTGATGAAGGCACTAGACAGGAGTGTCGAAACGTTGGGTCTATGAATTGTAACTTTTTCGGTTACATTCATTAAATCTGCAAACCAGAGTAGCATCAAACTATGTCCAGTTGGAACAAATAGGCTAGATTGTGCAGTTTGTGCAGTAGATCCTATTAAGCCAGTTATGCATTTTGTCCAGTTGAAGCACTTAAGGTAGTCAGACCATTTTAGATAGATTGTGCAATTTTTGAAGTTAAACTATCCTCGCCAGTTTGACTATGTAACCAGTTGAATCATTTGAGGTGACTTAAGCAGTTTCCGCAGTTGAACTGATTCAGCTAGTTATGAATTTTGGCTGGTTAAACCATTTCAGCTAGTTACGCATTTTGTCATTTTCGCTAGTTTGACCATTTTGAACCACTTCAGCCAATTAAGATACATTGTGCAATTTGTGCAGTTCACCTCGAATGTCAGACAATTCGCCCCGGACAATTAGCCCCCAATTTCAATACAATTCACCCCCAATGTGAAAACACCCAAATTATTGTAGAAAATATAGCTTTTGTCACAAGGCAATCATTTCTTGAAAGAAAAAGAAAACTCGACTACTCGAGTCAACCGAAACCAAAATAATTTACTGATCGTCAATCGCGTGAGCGTAAGATGGTGATACGTGTTCAGTTCTTCGGTTTTAGACGCGCGAGAACGCGTTCGCCCTTATTATACTTATAAATTCGACCGTAGATAGCTTTGTTTCATGTACGATGGGCACGAATGATTCGGTTGACTGACTCGGTGTTTTCACATTGGGGGTGAATTGTCTAAAAATTGGGGGCGAATTGTTTGAGGGGCGAATTGTTCCGATACCGTTTACCTCTTTCCGCTGGTTTGACTATTTTAACTAGTTATACCGATTAAGCAAGATCGTGCAGTTGGTGCAGTTGAACCATTTAAGCTAGTTATGCATTTCCTCCGGTTGAACCATTTGAGCTAATTTGACCATTTGAGCTAATTTGACCATTTGAACTGAGGAGGGCATTGGGGCCCATTAGAAACCTTAAAACCGTAGAAAAAATCATCCAAAACCGAAAAAAAAACTCGATCAAAACCAAAAACGGCATGCAAAACTGTCAAAATCGATACACTTTCACATCCCAGTTGTTAAAACCCTGATCGTTTCGATACAGTGATGACAAGTGTAGCGTACAGAGTAAACTACACTAATTTCATGACAGGATCCATGAATACCATGCACTTGGCATTCGTATCTTCTAGTATCTGCTTAAATTAACAGCTGCGCTCTCGAGGACCTCGAGCGTGGTTTCTGCGGACTCAGCAGCTGGTAATGGAGCTTAATTAAATTAAGGAAATTCGCACAAAAGCCCTCCATAGGATTGCAATTTTGCAGTCGCAAAAAGCTATAGCTCTGGAAAGTTTCATCAAAAATCCCTGATCTAACATTTCCATTCGCGAACTAAGACCTGAAAGTTTGGAGTGTTGAATCAATCAGTCACGTATGGCCTGTAACTTGGTCACCAACTTCGAGGTGACGTTGATAAAGAAACTTTGGAAATGATCCGTGCTTAGCCGTGCCCTACGTGCAGGCGCGTAGCCGTACCCTCCCTTCTTCCCCCACCTCAGGGGAGGGGGAGGGTACGGCTACACGTAGGCTACCTAGGGATCCCTGCGATATTTCAATTGGTTTGTCACTCATTCCTCTCGATAAAATTTGCGTTTAGCGGCTATTCGAGATTAGTGGAGGCGCGTAGTTGCCGCTCAGATCGAAGAGAAACCGGAACCCAAATAGGTCTAATTGGAAAAACCGAAAACTGCATCGGATATCAAAGCCGAAAACCAGTTAGTATTTTTTGCGAAAACCGAAAACCATGAGAAGACACAAGTGCTTTGCACTGTAAGTATTAAGCCCGCTGGGCTCGTCTTTTTCAGGTGTGATAATCCCGAAGTTAATTTTATTTAATCTCATTAAATATGTCATGGGCCGACTAACTTAAATTATCAACACTCTCGAGTTAGCAGCTGGATAATGTTACTATGTCGATATTCGAATGTCATGGTTTTTGCCCGCCTATCTTTTCTTTGCAGTTTCGTATTTCAAACGCGTGATTCAGACGCAGTAGAGATTGCACCTAGGAAGGGTTTCTCGCCCTTCACTCCGGTCATCAGCCCTGAATTAAGTCCACAATTGACTTAGTTCATTCTAAGTTCGAAAGTTTGTGGATTAACGCCGATGCAATACTTTAAGCGGTCGCCTGTTGTCGCCAGTTTTCCAAGCGATTTTCAAAGAATCGACAGTGCCCACATTCGGCTGCTAGATGGCCACCATTACTCGAACAAGAAGTCCTCTAATGCAACGGAAATTGTCTGTTCCTCGTTTGGGTTGATAACCACTCTGCTTCGCCGTTCCTCTTCAGAAAGCTCTGAGTTCATTTCACAGCTGAGAGATTTGCTGAACTCAGTATATCTCAGTAAAATGTCTATCGACGAAGAAAATGAAGGCCAAGCAAACAAAGAACGACCACGTGCTTTACGATGCTTGGAAATGCCAACGACACCAACGAACAAGACATCATCTGTGGCCATGACACCCCCAAACAGTGGAAACTCGCAAAGAGCTGAAAAAAAGAATGTTTCCCCAAATCTAAAGGAGATCAGCGAAAAGGAAGATTTGGATACTCCAGAAAAGGTGCTGTTGATGAAGCAGCGAAGCAGTCGCGTCATCAAGGACGTGCATAACGTGTGCGAAAGAAACAGGGAAAGTTTGACGATGGTGCTTTCGAACATGTGCGCATTTGGCGACCCAGAAGCGAAGGCCATCGTCAATGAAATTGTCGAAGAGATGGCTGTAAAAATGGGAGTAAAGAGGAGTGTGGAAGAGCTAGTTGGCGACGACACAATGTCGAAGTACGTGGCGTGCCTGAGAGTTCCTGATTGGAAGCTTGTCCTTTTCCAGGCGATGGCGAGAGTTTCTTCGAAAACGTGGCAATCCGTGATAAACATCACAGGGCTCAGAAGGACGGGAGTAAGATGTTTAGTTACGTTGGTCTTACGTCGGTATATTAATATTCATACTTGGCGCCCCGGCTAAGGGAATAAAAGAACAAAAAAAGAACTATTCCATCGCGAGCCTCAATGTTTATAGCAGCTCTTTCTTTTGTTTTATTCAGTTATTCTCGTAAGCGAAGCCTTGTACAGGAAAAGATAAGCAGGCTTTTTTTTATTACTTAAGCGGGCGTTTTACTTAACTGCGTCTTCAAAATTACCCTAGGTCTGTTTTCCAGAGCAATTTCAGCCAGTGGTAAGCTCTTTTTCAGCTGGTGAAATATGCTGGAATCCGTATGATAATCATCCACATATTTTTTGTGTGTGTGTGTGTGTTGTACTTCCAAATCAAAATAATTATAACTGTTAAATTTTTTTGGCCTTGCAAGCAGTTCTTTGTATGGAAGGTGGTCATTATAATAATGTGTAAGGTGAAATGGGTTGTTGAAGGGTGCAGTTTTTGTCTTGACTAATTTAGTGTAAAAAATTGTTTTGCAGGTAGAGCTCATATGTTGTTTGGAATTGTTCCCCGTGATGGTGCTGTATATAGCCAGCAAAGTGCAAAATCAGTCTACACATTGACAATTGCCAACTGTAAAGAAGACAGGTTTGTGAATTGCAACTTGCTTGAACTCTTTACTACCTTCTGGCTAGAATATGCTTGTGGTTGTATGTGCATTTAACTTAAATAACACAATGACAGATTTTTGTAAGCCCCACTCAGTTGCAATATCACCAGGTCATGCATCAACTCTGAGATCTAAGTGGATTGATATCAATATCCCTAATTTTGCCTTAATGCACTAAATATAATAATGACTGTATAGATTTTTGGTTTTTGTTTGTTGACAGAGACAACCTCAAGATTCTTTTTGAGGACATCAACCACCAGAAGAAAATATTAAAGGAAAAAGGAATGACAGTTGATGGTAGACATTACACCGTTGAATTTCTGGGTAAGAATCAATGTTAGTCTTGGAATTTGCTTTAAAAGTCAACTTCTTGTTCATGATACTATTTATAGCAATTTATTGTGTTTCTACCCAGTTGGTAGTCTGACTAGAACTAGATTGAAGCAGTAGTCAAACTATAGTAAATTAAGAGTTTTTTATATTGTAAAACATGTTCAAGGTTTAACTGCAGCAGCAAGAAATAAAACCTGGAATTTATTACTATTTTACGTCAGAAATTGATTTGACTACCCTTTTCTTTAGATACATTAGAGATTAATTTCCTGGAAAGTTTAGCATGTTAACTTTTGCTTTCCCATTTCTGTTATCAAACTTAGTTGTACTGGACTACAAGACCTTGGTACTTCTTTTGGTGAAGAAGATGAATGCTTCATTCATGTTAGGTGGTAGAGGTGTCAGTGTCGAGTTCTGTTTCATCTGCAATGCTATCAGGGTAAAGTACTCAAATGATATAGAAATTAGTATGGGGCAACTGCAACTTGTGCTCTTAAAGTTGAGGTACATAAAAGTGCTGCATCAGTTCATCAACTTTTTTTACAGTGATTTCAGATGACTTTGATCTTTGCCAATATTTGGGAAAATAATTAGTGAGTGATAGAAACATCAAGTAGCTTTAATTCAGTCAAAAGAAGTTGTAAAGTACTTCTCTAAAGGTCATTCTGCTTTTAAAACATTTAAAAATCACTGAAAGTATGAATACATGTACTGTAAAAAGAACAGGGCTCACACAGAGTCATAAATTCTTGGAAAAGTCTTGATTTTCCAGACCTGGATAGAGTCTTGAAATTGAAGATAATGTCTAGAAAAATAGTTCAAGTCTGGAGTTTTTTTTATAGCTACAAAAAGTGCTTAATAAGTTCATTTTTTTCCCCTGTGGTCAATTCAATCTCGCCTGTAGCTAAGACATTCAATCACAGAATGAGAAGTTTCACAATTGCACCATGGTTATTGTACATTTGCAGTGCATCATGAAAGAAGCTTGGTTTCTGCATTTTTCAAGATCTCTATTGATCACCTATTTGACCATCTTCAGTCTGGAAAAATAAATTGATGTTTTGGAAAAAAGGTCTGGGAAAAGTCTTGAATTTTGGATCCAAAAATCTGCATGAACTCTGAAGAAGATAATCGGAAGCATGATAAATGTGTAGTTCTATCTGAAATTATAATATTATAAATTATTTGATAGTGTGCCTGTTTTTGTCAGGGTTGCAAATGCCATGATGTTGCTCCAGATGAGACATGCCTGGATTGCCTCAGAAGCAAATGCAACATGGGAAGGTGTGTAGGCATTTGATCATTGTCATATTAAATTACATTCAACATAACAAAATGAATTTTGTAAGCCATGGGGAAATGACTTGTACTAAAGCATGAACTGAAATTAAGTGTGTAGTTTGGGGTTTTTTTTTTTAAATTGTTGCTAGTAAACTAAAATCCTCATTCAGGATCTTTTGCCAAACTTGGAAGGTTGCCAAAAATTGTTTTCATACTGTCAGGAAAGGAGTACTCATAGTTTGGTAATTGAAAAAGAAAAAGAAAAAGAAAAACATTTTTAGAGAAAAACATGAAATAATTCAGAGAGTCATTTCATGGCGATCGCATCTCAGTAAAGAAGAAGTCAGATCAACAGTCTGCTATTACAAAGCAGAATATCCATGTCAGTTCAATGTCTGGTAAGACATTTCCTAAAATAATGTTTTCAAGAGATGTTTTCCATAGGTCTTAGGTAAAATCTTTTTTTTTTCTTTTTTAATTTACTCTCATGCTGTTGTGTTTCAGGTCCAACAGATCAGGAAATCCTTCAACACCTTGAAGAAATTGTAGAACTTGCCCTACCACTGGATAAATTCAAGAAGCCGTATGAAGATGTGAACACGGCAAAAAATTTGATCCTTAACAGAGTTACATTTTACCAGGCTTGTGTTGATGTTAGTAAGAAGCAACTATTATTTTTATACTTGCAACTTGATTTAACATCATGTAGTCAAGATCATTGGTAATGTGTGTTCATTGAGTTCATACAGCGTCCAGACGATCCGTCGGAGTGCGCTTTAGGAATCAAATACCTCTGTGAGTATTTCTTTAATTGCTACAGTCTCCTATGTAATTTGCCCATCTTATGACTAATTCCATCACACAGCAGCTTGAAATTAATGGAGCTCCATTAACTGAAAGCTGCTGCATGTAGGAATATAGGTGAGCTCAGGATTGAAGTGTGAACCATTGTTTAATTTTAGCATGTCTGATTCTGTTAGTTAACACACCTTAAAGTGTAGAGTAACACAGAATTTTCTATAGTAAGAGATCCATAGGTGCAGTGTAACCCAGTGTTTAATTTAGTTCAAGGTAACTAACATAGGCTGCACTTTAGGTGGTACACCCATGGGTGCAGTGTAACCCAGTGTTTAATTTAGTTAAAGGTAACTAACATAGGCTGCACGTTAGGTGGCACACCCATAGGTGCAGTGTAACCCAGTGTTTTCTTTAGTAAACAGTAACTAACATAGGCTGCACTTTAGGTGGCACACCCATGGGTGCAGTGTAACCTAGTGTTTTATTTTGTTAAAGGTAATTAACATAGGCTGCACTTTAGGTGGCACACCCATGGGTGCAGTGTAAACCAGTGTCTTATTTAAAGGTAACTAACATAGGCTGCACTTTAGGTGGCACAACCATGGGTGCAGTGTAACCCATGGTTTTTTTTAGTTAAAGGAAACTTACTTTGGCTGCATTTAGGTGGTACACCCATAGGTGCAGTGTAACCCAGTGTTTTCTTTAGTTCAAGGTAACTAACATAGGCTGCATTTTAGGTGGCACACCCATGGATGCAGTGTAACCCAGTGTTTTATTTAGTTAAAGGTAACAACTGTAGGCTGCACTTTAGGTGGCACACCCATAGGTGCAGTGTAACCCAGTGTTTTCTTTAGTAAACGGTAACTAACATAGGCTGCACTTTAGGTGGCACATCCATGGGTGCAGTGTAACCTAGTGTTTTATTTTGTTAAAGGTAATTAACATAGGCTGCACTTTAGGTGGCACACCCATGGGTGCAGTGTAACCCAGTGTCTTATTTAGTTAAAGGTAATTAACATAGGCTGCACTTTAGGTGGCACACCCATAGGTGCAGTGTAACCCAGTGTTTTCTTTAGTAAACGGTAACTAACATAGGCTGCACTTTAGGTGGCGCACCTATGGGTGCAGTATAACCTAAAAACTTACTTTGGCTGCATTTAGGTGGTACACCCATAGGTGCAGTGTAACCCAGTGTTTTCTTTAGTTCAAGGTAACTAACATAGGCTGCATTTTAGGTGGCGCACCCATAGGTGCAGTGTAACCTAATGTTTTATTTAGTTAAAGGTAATTAACACAGCTGCACGTTAGGTGGCACACCCATGGGTGCTGTGTAACCCAGTGTCTTATTTAGTTAAAGGTAATTAACATAGGCTGCACTTTAGGTGGCACACCCATAGGTGCAGTGTAACCCAGTGTTTTCTTTAGTAAACGGTAACTAACATAGGCTGCACTTTAGGTGGCGCACCTATGGGTGCAGTATAACCCAGTGTTTAATTTAGTTAAAGGTAACTAACATAGGCTGCACTTTAGGTGGCACATCCATGGGTGCAGTGTAACCCAGTGTTTTCTTTAGTAAACGGTAACTAACATAGGCTGCACTTTAGGTGGCGCACCCATAGGTGCAGTGTAACCTAATGTTTTATTTAGTTAAAGGTAATTAACACAGCTGCACGTTAGGTGGCACACCCATGGGTGCTGTGTAACCCAGTGTCTTATTTAGTTAAAGGTAATTAACATAGGCTGCACTTTAGGTGGCACACCCATAGGTGCAGTGTAACCCAGTGTTTTCTTTAGTAAACGGTAACTAACATAGGCTGCACTTTAGGTGGCGCACCTATGGGTGCAGTATAACCTAATGTTTTATTTAGTTAAAGGTAATTAACACAGCTGCACGTTAGGTGGCATACCCATGGGTGCAGTGTAGCCCAGTGTTGTATTTAGTTAAGGTAACTTCCTTTGGCTGCACTTTAGGTGGCACACCCATGGGTGCTGTGTAACCCAGTGTCTTATTTAGTTAAAGGTAATTAACATAGGCTGCACTTTAGGTGGCACATCCATGGGTGCAGTGTAACCTAGTGTTGCTAATGAGTGACTGTAACCCAGTTCAGTTTTTTCTAGAAAGTGCTGTCCTTTAAGTAGCATAAAGACATGCAGACATTCTCTTTAAGACAATGAAATTGGTGTGAGGGAACATTTCTTCAAGTAGTATGGTAGCACAATGTTATGTAATTAATGCATTTTTCCAAATGTTTAGTACTTTTCAGGAGCTTTAAGCAAGGGCACTTTTGTAAGAGATTTTGGTACACATACTGAGATAATTGATTTGGAAGGCTCAGGTTTGTAGAACAACAGTAGTAATAACACTTTGTTTTTTCTTTGGTTACAAGTTCTGATTTTTTCTCACTGGCTAAAGAAGGTTTACCATACTATAATATGACTTTATTGAGTGTTTTATGCTGAAATATAAAAATTTTGGAAAATGAGTTTGGAAAATATTAAAATAATTAAACTTATTGCTAATGATGAGCTTAGGAGCTGGTACCTTAAAGGCTAGTGTGAACCCACTGACCAGCTTTGCTCCAGTTTAACTTTGCCTAAATGATATTTAGCCACATCAAAAGGAGCTTTTTGTTTTTAATTCCTCAAAAATATTTACCCAAGGAAAACAAAATGTTTACTTGCAACAGTTATTTGAATGATGTGATAACATATAGGGCCTCTCATTACAGTCTTACTCAGGTCTTATTTCAGGTTTTGGCTATTTTGCAGATATTAAAGCTGACATGGAGCCTCGCCTTGTTCAGTGGCAAGGCAAGTTGGATGAGCTACATGTCTTTTTCAAGAAGTTGTGCAAGTCACGCAAAAAGTCACTATTCACTATTCACTATTGTTTTTCTTGCGTTAGATCTGCTTTTTTCGATTCGATTGCACCTTGACTATTTTTGTACCGCTACTCCTCTTGCGTTATATTTATTTAAATGAGCAATTTTTAAAAGACAGAAAATGTCCTTCTTTCAATAACGTGGCGGAATAAAACAATTACACAAAGATGTTACTATGATACTTTTTGGTACGAAATATTTTATTTTTGACCAGCACTGTTATGCCTAATTTTGTCCATAAACGGACAAAATTGCTCCGATTTTGAGACGACATTACAGCTTTTTGGCAGCGATCGCCAAGAAACTGAATGTGCCACGGAATTACACCCAATTAAGAAAGATATTTTCTCCCTTCCAGCAGTCATTAGAAAGCCGTTTTGTCCCCTCAAAATCGGATGTAGTTCACACGTTAAGGGTAATAAACTGATAAAAAATGATTTACAATTATCCTGTTGTCAATAGGTTCTTATTCACGTAAGCTGGGTCATAAACTATTTCTTGCGGCAGAATCATGGGGAAGAAGTTGTCCTTCATTTTAAAATCGCTGAAATTGTAGTAACTAAACCTTGAATGAAACTATTGTAGGAAGATTCATTACTTGACGAGGGAATTCCGCATTTAATTGCACGCGAAAAGTGATACGCGAAGCGATGAGTGCGATATCGGTTTTTAAGTGCAATTTAACGCGGAATTCACGAGCCAAGTAATGGATTTTCCTTGAATCACATATTTGAATAAAAACAAGATAAAAAGAAAACAGCATTACTTATATTTGTTATGTATACGTAGATGCGAAACAATATCACTTAGCCCCGCTAAACAACTCGCCTCGTCAACCAATCAGAAGGCGAGATTTTATGCAATGATGCGATTCTATCTGATATTAGGTCTGCTGACTTGGAAAATACTACACCTAAAATTTAACATCAGCAATCTTACGAGAGAAAGCATAAAGGCTAGGTCTCTCTGACGGCTTATCTCTGGTTGACATTTTAACCAATTCTCGGACCCTTTCATAAAAACCCAACAAAGACGATATCGCCTTAAGCATTCTTCCCAATGAAAAAATGTCACTGGCAACGCCATAGAGTCGTTCACTAACAACCTCAGGGGCTAAATAGCTTTTCCCTTTGCATTTCATAACGGTGCCGTTTCTGCGGTACAACGTAACAGATGAAACCTTAAGGCTCTTTCCAAAGTCAATAAGAACTGGGCTGAATTCCCCAGAGGCTGAGGGCCGTTCTAGTACGGGCGACCCTAAAAGCCGGAACCGTGTGCGATGATGCTTGAATATTTGTTTTTCGACTTCGCTCCCTTCTTCAAATTCTTCTTGACGGCTTCCTTCTGCTAACTTTCTTACGCTAGTCTAAGTTTGGAGCTGGGGCTGAACGTTGTCATATTTTTAGAAGCCTGAAAACGTTCCTGTGATGTTCTCACATTTACAAGCATATGAGACGTTATTGTTTCAATAAATCAATACAGACGTGACCAGGAAACGTATCAAAGTTACAATTGTTTATTGTAATGTGGTATGTCGAGTTTGGTTTCATGGCAAATTTTTCTTAACAAAAGGTAACTAAACAGGTTTACAACGCGAAAACGCAGCTATCTTTCATGCATAATGGTTCATTATTATTTATACCACTAAGTAAAAGAAAAAAATTAATAACACTTAATTTTAGTCACGCGCGTTATCGTCGTGGGGATAAATGAGCCAAGCGCTTGGTGTCTTTGTACAAAATTTGTGCAACATGCCCTGACATCCGTTCCGTGTTTTAGGATTTGGGGTCATTTTCCGCCGTTCGATGTTTTAGGATCTGAGGTCATTTTTCGCCGTTCCGTGTTTTAGGATTTGGGGTCATTTTCCGCCGTTCCATGTTTTAGGATTTGGGGTCATTTTCCGCCGTTCCGTGTTTTAGGATTTGGGGTCATTTTCCGCCGTTCCGTGTTTTAGGATTTGGGGTCATTTTCCGCCACTCCGCCATTCCGCCGTTCCGGCTTTTAGGGTCGCCCTTCTAGTACAACATTGTTTCCTTTGATGTCGTTATGAAGGTATCCTTTAGAGTGCACGTGGTCTAAAACACTGCATATCTTTTTAAATATAGAAATACAGTTTGCTTTAGTAACTGCGTTGTTATCGGCCGCTTGATGGAGAGTTACATTTTCATGCTGAACACCATGAAATTGAGTCACAAGGCATAATGGTGAGGCCTTTGTAACAACACCAAAAATCATGGGTAGATGTGGATGGTCTCCCAAAGCAGAAACGACCTTTGCTTCGTGGAGCAAATCTCTCCTTGCTCGTTCTTCATCCTCTGACGTTTCGTTGTGAGTCATTTGCTTGACAATAACGTCGAAGCCTCGATAGCGCCCGAGAAAACACTGTCCAAAGCTTCCACTCCCAACTGGATTTTTAGACAAGTATTCAATGTTTTCTGGCCTGAGTTCTTTGGGTTCAAATCTGGATCCATTGCTCGCTGTGGTTTTTTTTCCAATTAAAAAGGTTTGATGACGTTTCCCACGAGGTTTCTGCGAGACAACTGCGTCGGCACCAACATTTGAATCATCTTAGCAGCTCTTGAACAACCACCCAAGGCCTCTTTCATCTCTTCACTGCCTGGTTTAAGCGCGAGGATATGGGGTTTCTTGACATTTTGTGGCTCAAAATGTTGGTCCGAAGGAGGCAGTTTCGTTTCCTTAGCCTCAGAAGTACAAGGCACCAACTCATTCGCTTCGCGGTTGAGTGATTGTAGTTCAACATTTTTATTCGTTGAATTCGGCATATGCTTCCCTTGTTTCCTCTTTCTCCATTCTTTTCTCTGTCTGTTTCTTTCTTCTGGAGTGTTTTTTCGTGATTTAATAGCTCGCTCTTTTCGTTCTTCTTCATCTTCAAATTCCTTCACAAATTCCGCCATCATTATGTAGCTAATTGATCTATTTCCGAAACACAAATGAGCTCGTGATCGGTGTAAAAGCATAAAACAAAGGCTTGTTGATGTGCAGGAAATTCAATGCTCGTTTTAATGAACTTGATGATATGTGAAAGCCCGAGTTGCTCTTCAATCGTTTCTGGTTTGCTTTCATAACGCGACATTCTTCTGTCAGAAGAGTGTCGGGAAAAACACCTCGCAAGGATCGTACGTGACAACACCCTCCACGCCTCGACTAACGCTAAAAAAGCTCCATACAATTCCTTATAATTTTATTATAAGGAATTGTATGGAGCTCTCCGGGATACTTACAGTGCAAGCCCTGTGTGTCTTCTCATGAAATGCTAAAAAACGGAAAATCCGCAAACCGCAATGACCACCAAACCGAAAAAACGAAGTTTTTTGGCACAAAAACCGAAAAACCGATCTAAAACGTAGCCAAAACTGCAAAACCGAAAATCCTAAATCCCCCCTTTGAATTACTTTAGCCAATTAAGATAGAATGTGAAATTTGTGCAATTTAACTGTTTTCGTTAGTTTGACTATTTTAGGTATTTGAATCTAGATTGTGCAGCTTGTGCAGTTGAACCATTTAAGCTAATTGTACATTTTTTCAAGTTAAACCATTTAGCTAGTTTGACCATTTGAACTACTTTAAACAACTACGATATATTTTTCAATTGTTTTCAGTTTAACGGTCTTCGCTAGTTTGATTATTTAACCAGTTGAGCCAATTGCGCTGAACTGTAAACTCTTTTTATTACATGAACAACGATTCACTGAAATCAAATGCATAAATCCGCTGAATAAAGCAAAATAACCGAGTCACAAAGGATAAGAAAGCTAAACAAAAACGATCGAATAGTACAAGTTATTTGCGTCTTGTCCCGCTACTAACAAATGAAATCTTGTTCGACAATCTTATCAGAAACTAAAACTTAAACTCAAAACAGACCATGTGCTCTCGAAAACTTGATAGCTTACCGTGACTGCAAAATAACCAGCGGTACACTGAAATATCTACTTGACTGTCCGCATTCGAATCAGGTCGCAGAAATGACATAACTACTTTCTAGGCAAAACCAATTCTGCTGGATCGTGCAGTTTGTGCAGGTTATGCAGTTGAACAATTTAAGCTAATTTGATCATTTGTACTACTTCAACCAATTAGTTATTCAACCATTTAAGTTAGTTTGATAATTTTAACTACTTTAACCAATTATGGTAGATTGTGGAGTTTGTGAGGTTGAACCTTATAAGATGCTTATGCATTTTTTTCAGTTTAACCATTTAAGCTGGTTTGAGCATTTTAACTATTTCAACCAGTTAAGATAGATTGTGCAATTTGTCAGTTTAACTGTTTTCGCTAGTTTGACTATTTAACCAGGTAAACCAATTGAGCTAGTTTAACTGTTTTAACTTCCTGAACCAATTCAGCTAGATTGTGCAGTTTGTGCAGTTGAACAATTGAAGCTAGTTTGACCACTTGAACTACTTTAACTAAGTAAGATAGGTTGTGCAATTTGTACAGTTCAACTGTTTCGCTAGTTCGACTGTTTAGTTGAACCAATGAACCATTTCGGAGGCCTGTTGCGTGGATGTGATTAAATTTGGCTGCTTACCTGCTGTAAACTGTCCAGCTTTATAGACTTTGAGTTTTCTACCTCTTGAGATTTACCTGCGTCCCTATACAGTCAGGCGAAGTCTACCGTACGCCGAGCTGATGGACAGCGGTCTGCAATTTAAAGATAGGTGAACTTGTCAATTGCGTGGAGTTTTGTGCCAATTAAATGACTGTAAGGTTAGTTGTATTGCTTCTCAGAGCTGGTGGGTACGTACGGTGAATCAAAAGTTCTCACAGGTTGTGCCCAAAGAGTTCATGCCATGATGCATCGGTTCTTCACAGTTACTATCCAGTGCACAATTATTTGCAAAATTTAGATCACGGATGGTGGTAAGACTGACCTCAAGTGTTTCCTTAAGTCGTCTACGATTGTGAAGCATGTGATCAGTTCTATAACGAGTTTCTACGCCTGCATCACCTTGTGAGAATGCACCTGGGAGCATTGTAGAGAGCATCATTGAGAAGAAGGTTGGGCGAGAACACATACGTGTTTCAAGCCATTTTTGACCGGGAAATATTTCCACACCTCACTATTTTACAAGTTCCATCATTTCACTAAGAAACTTTCCAATCATGGTGATGATAATAGAGATGCATCTAGCTTTGAAATGACTTTCTATAGATCATCACGACTGACCGTGTCTAACACCTTGGTCAGGTCAACAAAGGTGGTACAGAGGTCCTAGTGTTACTCCTGGATTTTCTCATAAGGTGACGAGCTGTAAATATCACATGTACTGTTCCGCTGCTACTCGTTCGAAAGCTGCACGGACTCTCGGGCAGGAGACCTTGTTGCAAATGTTTGATGAGTCGATTAGGCATGACTCTAGCAAGGAATTTGCCTAAAACTGACGGCAGTAACGGTGTTCCCTTGTGGTTGTCGCAGGACTGCCTGTTTCCTCGCTCTTACAATTGGACAATGATAGCCTTATTGAAGTCTTGAGGTAGAACATCTTTGCTCCAAAAGGATGAGAACGTTTCACACAGATTTTGGGTGACTATTTTATTACCTGCCTTTCATATTTACGCAGGGATGGCGTCTGCGCCTGTAGCCAGATGTCTTGCATTTTTCTGAGATGCTCTTGAGTTTACTATTGCAGGCAATAAAGACTTTCATTTCGATACTGATGTTGCGCTGGCTTGATAGGCAAGAAATTAAAGTGCTTACGTTTCTGCTCTAAGAGTTCGTTTATTTCCACGACGTTGTCATCAAACCAATCCTGATTTTCCTAAGAGACCGAGCCTAGCTGTTGCAGTGATGCAGTATAGAAAAATCCACTCCTCTTTAAGACTTGTTTCACGGAAATGGAGATCAGGAAGCTTATCCATGAGGTCACTGATGACTTAAGTTCATTCATTTTCCCGAATAAAAGATTCCAGTTCACATGGAGGAATATTAATTTCATAATCATCTCAACTATATCTCTGTGGCTTAACGGATGATTCCTTTTTGGTGTTTTAATCTTCTGTAGTGTCACGGTAAGAACTGCAATAACTTAGGTGGCTTCGCCTCCTATAGGAGATGCGAATTTTTCACAACTTGTGCGAATGTTTTAAAGGTGTTTCTGAGAAATTACACCACAATATCTCACATTTTATGCAAAATTTTGTGATTATTTTGAAAAACATTGCTGAGATGGTCGGGATTTTTGAAGAAAAAGATTTTTTAGATTTTTAGAGTTAAAAGAGATTTATAGACATTTTTTTGAAGAATTTCTTGATAGATTTTGGGAATTATGTATCTTGGCCTATTTTGAGATATTAATAAAGTTGTGTTCAATATATGACATGATTTCAATTTGAGAGTTCTCTTACTTAATCTTGTGCACCGTGACTTATAGATGAGAACTAGATCCTTGTAACAAGGATTCCCATCCTTCCCATCCTTCACATCCTTTCCTTCCTCCCCGCGAGCCAGTGATGATAAACATTTTTTTTCGAGCTTTCTCTAACTAATTATTTAGCGGTCCTAGATTTTATTTGAATGTAAGAGCTCTTGCTGTTAGGTATCTAAGTGAATATTCTGTGAGGTTTATTGAAAGCAATACTGAGAACTCCTGGAAAGGGTATTTTATCTAACAGGTATGTCACAGCAAGGTGCATGGCGTGATAATCTCACCAATCAAGCAATTGCAGACAGACGAATGATAGAACCAATATGACAGAATCCAATCACTGAACTACTGCATGATGCCACAGATGTTGGAATTTTTCAGTTCGCTCAAATAGATGAAACATAGCATTAATTTGCACTTAGCTCGATCATTAACCATTTACACCCTTAGGTTGGTACTCATATTCTCCACACTGATCTCTCTACATTTCCTGTGGTAAGGACAAGGAGAATTTGTTTAACAATCATGAGCTTTTCAAATTGGTTATTATTTTCATTTTTCTCATTACCTATACATTCAATTCAAGGTTGATACTGAAATGAGAAATTAGAAGCCAGTCACCCTTTAGAGTTAATGGGTTAATAACTCAGAATTGGACGTGAATGAAATCGCTCTTTTAAAAGAGAAAGAAGGGAAAAGAAAGCGTTTTTTATGACGGAATACAGGAAAAAAGAAAACTGCTGCAAACAAATGGAGATTTAATCATTATGATTACCCCTAGCTTAGTGCATGGTGAGCCAACATGGATATTCAATTTGTCCTTGATGTTTAAGCTAGCCTTGTGTTATGTATATTTGCTCTTGCACCTCAAAGGCACAAAAAAGCATCGATGAGATTTAGCGAGCTGCTTGTGATGAAGCCACAAAATAAAATGATAGTTTTAAGCAATTATTCGGACGTATAGGTAATAAATTGCTAAACAATGTTGAGATAAGCGCATACTCCATTGACTCTGCATGCACACTTTTACTACCCACACCAGGTCTACATGTTGAGGTCCTTACGATTCAGAGCCCACGTATGCGTCCTAGAGTTTCAAAAAGTCTGATTACAGATTACTTGAGACTCGGAGGGTAACGGAAAGGCTCTGGATGTGCTATAAGAGCCCTGACCCTGCCATCGCTGAGCATTTTTAAGGTCGATTATTGTCGAACGCGGATGAAATTTTTGGGGTATATTTGTTGTGTTTAACAATTGGTGCCGCTTTACTAATAGCCTTTTGTAACAGGGACGTTAAAGAGCCCTGTGACCTGCATCAGTTCTTTTTTTTTTCTTTTTTTCTTTTTTTCTTCCTTTTTTCTCAAACACTTTTTTGGAGCAAAACGGACATATCGTTAAAGATTCCAAACATGATAGGAAAATTAAAGAGAAAATGTTCCCAATAAGGCAAGTGCGAACGGTACCCTAAAACAAAGCACCACCCTAATGGTTACCTCGGCTGAAAACAGCCTACCATTCTCAAATAATGTTGCGCGCGTTGATTCTGTTATTTTTTAACATAGAGAGCAAATTACTAAAGGTTGATTGGTTCAGATAGAGGGAATTTTCCCTTTATTTTGGTAATTGCCCTAGGGAAAATAACCCAAATTTGAAATATCTTCTGTTCTGATTGGCACCTGAGCAGGCAAGATGGGCTCGGGACTGCCCGCTGTGATTCCGCGCAAAAACAGTTGGCCTCCTTTCCCGTCTCTCGAAATAAACAAGTCTTGATTCGTAATAAAGCGGCGATGTTTTTGCTCTATAATAAATCCGATATTGACCAAGCTTTTTCGGTCGAGGTGGCTGGATATTAGTGTCGTTCTCTTTTTTCCGTTTTTATGGAAATAAAACACAAAAAAGAACTGACCCAATATCTAGCCATCTTGACCTCACGCTTGGTCAATGACGCTTATGAAAAATTGCGTTACTTCCGATTCTTTCCAAATTTGGAGTATAAGATGTTGAAAATTAAAGCCAATTTGGTAGTTAAATATGCACTACACAACTAATATTTCAAGTTCAATCGGCGTCGATGTGAGTCGATCTTATTTTATCCCCGTTGATGATGATTTAGAGGTTAAATTTATCATCGGAAACTCCGTAGATGGAATAGACAGTGGTGAAGGACGCAGACTAGATCGGGGGCTAGAAATTGAGATCGAGAAATCGAGAGCCATCGAACATATAGTTTTGAAAAGCATAGTCGTTCACCTCCAGTAGCCTATTTCGCATTCGCGTGCAGTTCCTGAGTTTTGATCAAAAATTTGTAACAAGTATCTGAGACCAAAGAGCCCCATAATTTACGCCAATGGATGTGATTCAACTATGCGATTCAAACCATGTGACGCGTAATACGATTGGTTGTTTTGTTGCCATAGAGAAATGCATATTTTGATTGTAAGCGATTACTAGTTAGTTTGTACGTGTGTTTTGTTTTAGTCAACTTCAATTTAGGAGCGGAACAAACCATTGTCACATTGGTATTCTTAGCGAAGGAGAAGATGCTATAATTGAGGAGGTGAGTGAAACGTTTTCATCGGGTATAAATTCAGAATAACAAGTACAATCTTTTAATGCTTATCCTCAAAAATAACTCAGAATTTTTAAGCCCTGTTCAAACGGTCACGATAGTTCATGATAGTTGAAATAATCATTTGCCGTCATGTTTGCGTTCAAACATCTCATGATAGTTAACAATTGTTCACCGAAGTGGAGGTAAATATCAGGTAATTTAGTGTCAACAACTGAGTTGAAAACGTAAATTGGCCACCGTAAAGAGTTAAAAAGCTGACGTTTCGAGCGTTATCCCATCGTCAGAGCGATTGACGAAGGACTAACGCTCGAAACGTCAGTTTTTTTTTACTCTTTACGGTGGCCAATTACGTTTTCAACTCAGTTGTTATCTCTAAATTACCTGCTATACTCTCCCACCGACGCAGCACCACAGTATCTTTAGAAACTTACCCTCTGTATTCATGGGGGTAAATATCCATCATTTTCATCGACACTGAGGTGATTAATTTGTTTCAGTATATATAGTATATCACACAAGAACCATAAACTTAGTTTATTTCTTTTAATATACCGAAAAATGGTGGGAATTCAATTCTTGTTGTTCAATTTTTTCTCATCATCTGTTCGGAGGTGAATGGTACTTGCCATTCAATTCTGAACTAGCCAATCAGCACATGAAAAAAAAAACCATTCACTGAATGTGTGTTATATACTAATTGATTATAGCTGTTGAAATCATACAATGGGATTTTACTGCCGGCTGATACCTAGTATCTTAGTGTGTGAAATTGTAAGCAAAATATCAGCCAAGAAGAGTGCTTATCGCCACAGTTTTAGAGAACATTAATGTAGAACGACTCTTCTAAAGAGTTGCTTGATCACCACAAATGAAGCAGGAAGGAGTGGATATGAAGTCAAGAAGTTGCAAGCAGAAGACAGAAGCCTTTAACCCTTTAACTCCCAGATCAAATTTGTCATTCTCCTCACTGTCAACCATACAATTCTTATAATGTTAGTTCAGATAATTTAGTATTGGATCAACAAATTATTCCCTAATTTATATTTTTCGCTATTCTCATCACTTATCTGGTTGATATTGCATTGATATTGTAAGGAGAAATTCTGTCTTGGTCACTCATGGGAGTTAAAGGGTTAAGGAGATGTTGAAAATGAACTTTGAGACAACCTATAAAATTTTGACAACTATTTTACCCCTCTTATGATTTTCCATTTCAGTTTGAGCCTATTTTTGGCAAAACCACAGACTGAAAAACTAGTTGATTATAGTTTGAGTTCAAATGTGCACCATAGTTAGTTACTATCATTGTCTATCTGTACCATTTCTATAGGGCTTTACAGTAAATCAGTGTATATGTTTTGAACTTGATATATTGACTTCATTTGAAATACATTTTTGTTTCAATGTGTTGGTGTTGACCCCCAAATTTCTTCTGCTTCTGCTGCCCCCAGTTCTGTTTTGCCAGCAGTTAGTAGTCTCATATTTTCAAAGAGCATCAGGTTTATTTTTCTGATGAGAGTGCTATATTCAGGCCTGAAATTATACTTCGGTTCATTTCCCCAGGGACATTGTGAGACAGTTTTGTGAATTCCCTGAGAATGATTTATCATCTGTGAATACTAAGCCCACTGCTCCTCATATTTCCTAACCAAACCCAAAGTGAGTTTAGGAGTATTTCAGCTTTCTCTGGGAACAACATATGCTTTGTGGTGTATCATAAAATGAAAAGGGGATATTTAAAAGTTTGGTTTTGCCATAGTGCCTGGAAGTGCATGCTAGAAATGATTGAAATTGCTTTGCATTGTGTCATACCGAAGAGTGTCATAGCTTATTGTTTTGCAAACCATATTTCCCATTGCTTGATTTTAATCACTGTCAATGGTTTTAGATGTTTTGTTACTCAAAGGAAATACCAAAGAAGAGACAAAAAAACAAAATAATTGAAGATGCAAAAAAAGAAAAAAAAAAAGAAGTGAAGAATGTCATAAAAGCCACTTTGCAGCATTCATTTTAACTTTGTCAGTCATGAGTTATGATAGTTGTGTTTTGATGCTAGTTTTGCCAAAGAGACCTCCTATTGATTAGCAGGGATAGTGGAGGGCATATTTATTTACTTAGTAACACTTCAAACCTGCTCCCATGCTGACACACCCCCATTTTTCCCAAAAATATTTCTTCCCAGTAAGGGTTTGACTGACATTGGAAAACATGAAAATTTTGTGAAAAGATTTAGAATTTACTTTTCTCCTTTCAAATTTTCAGGAATGTGGCTGACATCTGGAGGATCAATTTTGTATTACTTCATAATAATTATTCATAATAATTACTGACATTTTGATGAAAAATCTTTTTTCCTCAAATATGATAACAAATTTATGCTAATTTTTCTGAAATTCTTATTTTAATACACTTTAATGTAAGATAATGTAGGGCCTTATTGCTATAAATACATGTAGAGGTAAAAAAATGAAAACACAGTGTGGTCAATTTCATGTATTTTTGGGGGCCATAGATGAGTTAAAGTTTGCAAGATCAGTACTAATATATATGACCTAAATGTAAATGAGTGAGCCATTGTTTTATATATGTTAGTGCATCTAGTTCAATCTGTTTCCTAAGGACTGTGAAAGGTGTTCACTGTAGTTTAGGGTAAAACTTTGGAGTCAAGGGAAAGATCATTTTCCTTGATGAAAATTGAATTAGTTGGTAGTGACAAAACTAGTCAGTGATCGGTACAGCATTCTGTGCCACACAGCTTTGGTCCCATAACATCTACTTTGTCAGTTTTTCTAAGTCATTGCATAATCTGGTGACTGACATAATATGATATGTCTCTGTGTAGAACAGCCCACACATTACTCAAAGTTCTGTTAATAGACAGACATCTTCTGATTGGACATGGCACTACTGGATGTACTGAAAGAATGATACATAAGGGAACTTATAAGAAGCAATAAGCACATTTAGAGGTGCTCAAAAAAGCCATAAAGTTACATATATTGTTAAGTTCTATCAAAAAGGCACTAGATAGAGCTCTTTAGAGGATTCCATGCACAATCAAAATCCCTTGGTAAGATAACTCTTCTGCCAAAAGAGAACTAGTAGTAATAATAATGATAATAATAATGAGACTTTGATGATGTTCTTTTTGGGTCTGAGAGTCTGTGTCACCTCAGTATAAAAACCTGATCAAAGAAAATGGGTGGTGCTTGTGTTCTTTAAAGGGTAATTCTTTGAAATAAGACCTTCATAATGAGGATTCCCGAAGAGTCCCTTTACTTTGGTTTGGAGAACACACACCTTAATTCCTCTCAAAAAGGGAGAAAACAAAAGACTTGAAAAATTTTTTTTAGCAATAAAGCACCTTAGGAGGTGCTCTAAAAAAGTCAAAAGATGCTTACATTAAGAATTAATGTAAAGAATACAGTTTTTAACAAAGTACAGTCTGAAATTCTTAGTATCACTCAGGCACTGTGTGTATCTGAATACACACAGTGTGTGTACTTTATGAAGAATTTGAGTTTGTAAACCATTAAAAGATGATTTTTTCGTTAATCTAAGTATCTTAATGGTTTTCTTGGGCACTTCTTCATGTGCCTCAGGACACAAAAAAACTTTTTTCCAGGTTCTGTGTTTTTACCTTCTTGTGAGGACTCAAGATGTGTGTTATACGAACTGATGTATGAGGACCATTAAAAAAGTCCTCACTATGATGGTCTTTTCTCTCATTACAACGTATTTATGAGGACTTTTTTGTGGGGACTTGAAAATGTCCCCACAATTTGAACAGACCCCACTTTGCTGGTGTGTATTCATATGAATGTCCCCATAGGTGTGCAAAGGTGCACGCATGGAAGTTCACTGTAAGAATACCATACTGAGGAATGCTGTGTCATGGCTCCATTTGGGCTATTTTTACCACTTACACCAAAAGAAGAGGTTTCTCATAAACCTAACCATTTGAATAATGAGTTACAGTTTCTATTTGGGGGCACCAAAGAGGGGGAACCTATGCTGGAAATGACTTTGAGGTTTTGCAATTTACTTTTATCTACACATAATATTCCAACAGGGAGAATGAGCCATGTGGACCATTTCATTCACCTCTTAAACTCTTTCTTTTCCTTTATTTCTCTACCCTATGTGATTGTGGAGATTGCCAGTATTGATGTTTTTCTGCTTGAGCTTAGTTTAATATTGAAAATTGAATGTCATGTTAGTTGTGCAATGAGCCAAGCAGTTTTGGAAATGTCTTTAAGTATTATGAGTTAGAGAGAAACATCTATTTCAAATGATGTAATCTCTCCTAACCACAACTATTGTTTATTTAATGAAAGTTTGCTAAGTCTAAAACTTTTCATGTTTTACCCTAGAAACTGGAGAAGAGACTGAGAGTGGTTACTGAGGAAGAAAAGAAGTCAGAATTGTTCGAGGCATTGCATTTGTCAATGATATCCTCAGATGAATCTGATGGCGAGGATGACACCCTGTCCACAAAGCCTCTTGTCTGGAGGGCAGAGGAGGTTTCTTCTTTCTTCAAAGAACTGGACTCACGGCATAGGGCAAATATGTCCACCCAACAAAGGAGGCAGTCTGTAAACAGGCAGGTTGGCCGTCCAAGTACCAGAAGCCACAATGAAGTGCCAGAGAAATTGCTCTGGGCCATTAAATTGTAATTATTTTCTATTTTTTTTTTTCCATGAATGCTGTTATTGTTTACTAGGCAATTTTGGTTACAGTGGATCCATTAGAGTAAAGCAGTAATTAATGGATGTTCTTGATTTAGATTGGGATATATATGGGATATTTACTTCTAGAGGCCCTGCTATGTTCCTTAAGTTCAACTGCAAAAGTTCTTTTACACTTGAGGATGGTGTTGAGTAGGATTTTTCAAACTCTAATGTTTGAGCCTAGAAAATTTCTGAGTATTTTTGTGATGTTTATCAAAATTAAGGAAACAGCTCGAAATGTTGAATTGGATGATACATGTAAAAGCTTCTTTTACAACTGCCTATGCGAGTCCCAATATAATCATCCAAATTTCACATATATGCATTTCAACATTTTCCCAATTTTACATATGATCCACCTTAGGTGGTGAACAGACATTAGGTTTCACTCATTTTTGTGCAAGGTTTGTTTGTGTCATTTAGAAGTCTCATTTTATTGACCAAAATGAAGCAGATTGTATTTGTTTGCCAAGGGTGAGACATACAATTTTGTTGATTCGCTGATACTTTTAAAATTTTTTTAAAATGTTAGATTTCAAGGTTTTCTGTGTTGTGAATATTTGTAAAAATTGTATGATTAAGAACTGATGTAACTAGGTGAATACTACTTTGATTAATTGGTAATAAAAAGGCTTCAAAAAAATTTATGTTAAGGCTCTTATTGCTTGCGCCACATACGGGAGGGAATGATTCCAAGTAGTTCAATGGATCATTTGATTTGCGAAGTGGATTCAGCGACTGGTAAAACTTCTTCAAAATCGTTCTAGATCAAGGGAGCCTGGAGCTAAAGAAATTATGAGCGAGAGAAGTAAATGTAAATATAAATTTCCAAATGGTTGACAGTGTAAAACACCGATGAATATAGGAATACATGCCATTTTCCGCACGATAATCGAACGGCAAATACAAGAAAATGCGTGGGAATAACCGCATTCGGGTGGTGAACCGCCGCTAACAACGCGTTTTCTCAACGCAAACAGCTGCAATCGCTAGAAAATATTGTATTTCAATTTGTTAGCCAACCCGTGAACGTTGGACGACACTTGGTTTTCAAGCGTTATCTACGCATTTACTGTCCTAGAAAATGGAAGAAAACGCATTGTCTTCAACGGAAAACGTCTGTGAAAACAATGTTTTGTTACTGGGAAAACACCAGTAAACAATGGAATACAAACTGTTTTCCCGTCTGTTAACCGTACTCTTAACACTAAGAAAACAATCGTTTTCAGAGTTCACTGTGGAGGAAAATTGCTGGATAATGGAACGAATACTCCAATTTGCCGACTCGAAAACAACGGGAGAACGTTGGATTTTCTTTTCGGAAAATGTCAGAAAATGCGTGAATAATGCTGCGTTTTCAAATATTCACAACTTGTTTTCCGAACGGGTGAACACCACTTTTTTTGCAGTGATCCCATCTGAATAAATTGTCAGTCTTCCCTTGTTTATTCAAGAGAAATAGTAAATAATACATGGCGGACGCAATCATAGGATTTCTCTTCTCGTGTTCGACTCGATGTCTCACGAGTTCGCACTAAGCTAGCTGCACTCACTCGTGAGACGTCGAGTTGAACACGAGAAGAGAAATTCCGAATCTACCAGCGACCATGTATTATTTTGGTTATTCACAGTCTTTACCGGCATATAAAGTCGACTTTATTAACGAATGAAAAAAAAAGAAAAAAAAAAAAAGGATCCATCATCCAAGAAGAAAATCGTAAATTGCGTCGGTGATAAGGCTAAAGATGATAAAAAGCGTTGAATCATTATAAAAACAAGCAATGGGCGTAAATTTCAATTCACATAAGTCTCTCTCTGGAAACCTCTGAACCATACCAAATGAGCTGTCATTCATTTAAATGATCTAAGACATATGTGCTTCGTTCACGCATGTCGTGTCTGTATGAAATATTTTGCGGTGCGTCGTCGAAGGGTAAAAGGCTATGTCGCATGTCTCGCACAGAAAGTAGCCTGTGAATACGAAAAGTTATATTTCTGTAATAAGCAGTCAATTCCATGCGACACCACAAAATGAACAAAAGCATGGAGAGGCGTTTTCCGAGCAGGAATTCAAAAATGAAACAAAATAAAGGTAAAATAAAATTAAGACTAATCAACCACAACTTTTTTACTGAAAAATAATGATTTCAGTTTGAGAGAGGAATAGGCGAACTTTGTGGTCAGCATGTTAGTTTTCTTTTGCAATAAAGAGCCTACACGAACGGAAAGCTACGAACTCAATATTCACTGATTTGTGACTCGTAAAAAAGTGTTCAAAATCTCTTAAGCAATTATAGGAACTAGTTGCTCTGCACGACCTGTAAGGAAACAAAGGTCGTCTTCATAACGGAGAGGGGTTTTTTAAAAGGACGTAGCTAACATTTACGAAAACGTACCACGTACCGAAGGAAGGATGTAAGACCATGTGTAAACTTTGTCTTCTCTAGGGATACCAAGATAAAGTGTGGAGGTCACTTCAGTCTAGTCTCTTTAACAGTATAAAAGACAGGTTAGTATTCTGCTGTCAAATCATTGCCGGAAATACCTTAGTATTTCTCAATTATTTGGAAAAGCAAAAGATTTCTAGGATGTCTTCTTCACCGGAGTGTATAACCTGGATGGTTGTGGGCCTGACTGAATCTGTCACCATAATAGCTTTGAATTCTTTGACAGTGATTGTATTTTGTGGAGACCGTAATCTTCGTAAACGATCTACATACTTGGTGATAAGCTTGGCAGTTGCAGACATGTTATCCGGGGGAACTGCTCCACTCGACCTCGTCTATAATGTTGGAGGAATATGTAACTTCTGGAGGTACAATACAGAGCATTGGTATCAGATACCATGGTTCTTACTCTTCTGGTTTCTCGTTTGTTCGTTAGCAAATATGACCGTTATTTCTCTAGAACGCCTGAATGCAACGTTTTGGCCCTTCAGACATCGTACGATCAAAAAGTCAGTCTACTGGGTTCTTATAATCGCCATCTGGTTGACAACACTACTCTTTTGTGCGTTGATAATGAATTATTACTATACACATAAACTGGACTATTACTATTACGCTTGGGGTTCATTCATCTCAATTTGTCTTTTGGTCATTTGTGTTTCTTATGTGTTTATTTTTGTCAAGCTTCGCTTTGGAAATCAGCCTCGTCACCATGGCGCGGCAAATAGGGAAAGGAAACTGACCGTGACGTTGTTCACTGTGACTTCTCTCTCTCTCCTATTGTGGCTGCCTTATGTTATAGCTACTTTTCTGTTTTTTGCCACTAACATTTTAAGTTCATTTTCTGAAATAGCGCTTTTCCGTTTGCTACGTGTTTCAGTTGTCTTGCTTTACGCAAACTCTTTTTTTAATCCGATATTGTATACTATGAGAATGCCAGGTTTTAGGCGAGCTTTAAAGGTATTATGTCGCCAACGACCTCAGCCACACAGACAGGTTCAGATCATTCCCCTCCGTGAGAT